ATATTGGAAATGATCTTCTGTGGAGGGTGGTGCCTCTGCCAAGGATAATATTTCTGAGTTAAGCGCAGCCTTTTTAGCCATCTCATCTGCCATCTGATTTCCTTTGGCAATAGGATCATTGCCCTTCTGATGTCCTGGGCAATGAATAATGCTCACCTTCTTGGGTAAGAAGAGGGCCTTTAATAGTCCCAGGATTTCAGTCTTATTTTTAATTTCTTTTCCAGCAGAAGTTAGCAGTCCTCTTCTTTTATAAATTTCCCCATGGACATGGGCCGTTGCAAATGCATAACGGCTGTCTGTATATATGTTTACTTTTTGTCCCTTTGCTAGTTCTAAAGCCTTAGTCAGGGCTATTAATTCTGCCTTCTGGGCAGAGGTTCCTGGGGGCAATGCCTGTGCCCATATGGTATTTTGTCCATCCACCACCGCCGCCCCCGCCTTTCGCTCACCTTCTTTAAAGAAGCTGCTGCCGTCTGTGAACCAGGTATAATCTGCATCAGGGAGCCGGCAATCAGTCAAATCCTCCCTGGTCCCGTGGTATTCTGCCAATATCTGATGACAGTCATGAGGTACCCAAACAGTGGGTTCCGAATTGGGGAGCAAGGTAGCGGGGTTCAGTAACGTCGCATTTCCAAATGTGATACGTTCAGGGTTGAGCAATAACGACTGGTAGTGGGTTATACGGGCATTCGAGAGCCATCTATCAGGGGGTTGACGAATTATAGTCTCTAAAGCATGAGGTGCTATTATAGTCAGCGGTTGGCCCAGAGTCAATTTGTCTGCATCTTTGACCAGGGTAGCTACAGCTGCTACCATACGGAGGCAAGGGGGCCATCCTGTCACCACATTGTCCATCTTTTTGGAGATGTAAGCCACTGGTTTTTTCCAGGGTCCCAGTTTCTGAGTCAGCACCCCTTTTGCTACTCCCTTGTTCTCATCTACGTATAAGGTGAATGGTTTGGTGACATCAGGGAGACTCAAAGCAGGGGCCGAAAGGAGGGCCCTTTTTATTTTATCAAAAGCCCGTTGTTGGTCCTCTCCCCAGAAGAAAGGGACGTTGGCTTTGGTAAGCGGATACAGTGGGGCGGCCATTTCAGCGAAACCCGGTATCCATAACCTACAGAAACCGGCAGTTCCCAGAAACTCTCGGACCTCTCGCGCCCCTTTGGGAGGGGGAATTTGTGCCACGGCCTGCTTCCGACTGTCTGTTAACCATCTCTGTCCACCCTCCAAGAGGTACCCCAGGTAGGCTACTTGCTTCTTGCAGATCTGTGCCTTTTTAGCAGATGCCCTGTAGCCCAGTTCACCTAATCTGGTGAGTAGGGCTCGAGTCCCTCTGAGGCATTTTTGCTCAGTCTCTGCGGCCAGCAGGAGGTCATCTACATATTGGAGTAAGATTACCTCTGGATTGGCGGTGCGAAAACTGGCCAGATCCTGGTGTAGGGCCTCATCAAATAGAGTTGGAGAATTCTTGAATCCCTGGGGTAGTCTCGTCCAGGTGAGCTGCCCAGAAACTCCTGAATCAGGATCTTTCCATTCAAAGGCAAACAATGGCTGGCTCTGAGGGCTAAGTCTCAGACAGAAAAAAGCATCTTTTAAATCAAGTACTGAGTACCATACATGGGTCGGAGGCAGGGTACTTAAGAGATTATAAGGATTGGGCACCGTAGGATGAATGTCTAGAGTGCGGCGATTAACTTCCCTTAAGTCTTGGACTGGTCTGTAGTCCCCTGTGCCTGGCTTCTTTACTGGGAGAAGAGGTGTGTTCCAGGGGGAATGGCAGGCCTTTAAGATGCCCAATGTTAAAAGTCTCTGAATGTGGGGCCTGATTCCTTCTCGGGCCTCGCGGCTCATGGGGTATTGTCTTATGGAAACTGGAGTGGCTGATGGTTTTAACTCTATTATCAAAGGAGGTTGATTGCTTGCCAGCCCCATACCTGCGGTTTCCGCCCAGGCCTGGGGGAAATCACGGAGCCATTTGTTATCGATGGGCAGCTCCGGGGGAGGAGGCAGTTCAAACAGTCTGTGTTCGTCCTCCAATCTTAAAGTTAGAATTTGAAGAGCCTGGCCAGTATTGTCAGTAACTGAGGCCCCATTTTCTGAGAAGTGAATTTGTGCCCCAACTTTGGACAGGAGGTCTCTGCCCAGCAATGGGTAGGGGCATTCTGGCACCATGAGGAAGGAATGAGTCACTTGACCAGTGTTTAAATTAACTTTTCTTTCTGTGGTCCATCGGTATATTTTTCCCCCGGTGGCCCCCTGAACCCAAGAGGTTTTTGAACTCAAAGGTCCATTTGCTTGTGTGAGGACCGAATGCTGGGCTCCAGTATCTACCAAAAATGTGGTAGGGTGCCCCCCCACTAGAAGGGTTACCCGGGGCTCAGGGGGGGGCTCTGAGCCCTGACTGTCCTAATCACTGTCTTCCAGGGCTAGGACAGGAACTGGCTTTTTCTTGGGTTCAGCTGGACGTTTTGGGCAGTCCTTGATCCAATGTCCTCTTTCTTTGCAATAGGCACATTGATCTCGGTCCACTCGTGGCCGCCTTTTGTCTCCCCTATCCTTGTCCTGGCGCTTCTTAGGTTGCTCTATACTGCGTACTGTTGTGGCCAAGATCTTACTTAACTCACGACTACGCTTTTTATCTCGTTTGTCCTCTCTCTCTTCCTGTTCCTTGCGCCTTCTTTCTTCCTTTTCCTCTGGTGTCTCTCTTTTGTTAAAAATTCTCTCTGCCTCCTTTACTAAATCTTGGAGGGAGTAACCCTGCAGTCCCTCCATCCTCTGCAGCTTGCTACGAATATCAGGTGCTGACTGGCTTATAAAAGACATTATTATATCAGCCTGGCGATCCGCTGCCATGGGATCAAAAGGGGTGTACATTCTGTACCCCTCCAATAGCCTTTCTAGAAATCCTGCAGGTGTTTCCTCAGGCCCCTGTATTATTGCTCTTACCTTAGCCAAATTAGTGGGCCGTCTGCCAGCCCCTTGGAGACCCGCTAACAGAATCTGACGGTAGAGACGAAGTCGCTCCCTACCAGCTGGAGTATTGAAGTCCCAATTGGGTCGGGTCAAAGGGAAGGCATCCTCTATCTCATTTGGCAACTGGGTTGGCCTTCCGTCAGCTCCCAGGACATTCTTCCGAGCTTCAAGGAAAACACGCTGTTTCTCCTCTGTAGTGAGAAGTATCTGCAAAAGCTGTTGGCAATCATCCCAAGTGGGCTGGTGAGTAATCAGAACAGATTCTATAAGGGCAGTAAGGGCCTGGGGGTCCTGGGAAAAGGAGGGGTTATGAAGTTTCCAGTTATAAAGATCAGAGGCTGAAAAAGGCCAGTATTGAAATTGGTCAGCCATTGAGCGGAGGGGTAGTGCCTGGGAAGTCCACCTTTCCCTTGCAGATGTCCCTCTGCGGAGCCGCAGCCGGCCTGCTGGCTGCGAGTTAGGCCCCCCCTCAGCAGTATCAGTCGTGTCAGGGCTAGGGGGCCTGTCAGGGTCTATATCAGGTTCAGCAGGTTCCCCAGGAACAGGCGCGAGGGGGGCTGCCTCGGCCTGGGGCAGAAGAGGCCGGGGATAAGGAGGAGGAGGGTCAAAAAGCAGGAGGTCTGACTGATTGTCAGAGAGGATTGGTGGTGTCTGGGTCTGGGACTTCTGTTTCGGTCGCTCCTGCATGGGGAAGAGAGAGGACAACGGGTCCAGGGGAGGGGCAGTTGGGGTTGCTGCCGCCCTCGGAGTCAAAGGGGTGGTGGAGGGCCAGGGAGCTGGTACTGGGTTTCCGGCTCCCGCAGGCAGGACAAATGGTTTGACCCAGGGCGGAGGGTCTCTGGACAAGCTCTCCCAAGTTACGATGTAAGGAACTTGATCAGGATGGCCCTGCTGGCCAGGCTGAAAGACTCTTGTCTTAACCTGCAAAATAATATTCAGATTAAATGTTCCGTCCTGTGGCCAGCCCACTCCGAAAGTGGGCCATTCCACGGAACAGAACGCTTGCCAGCGTTTCTTTCGGATTACCATAGACTGGTTGTGAGCTCTGTCCTCAACCTCTTTCCAGTGGTCTAAAGTCAAAGTTAAGGGGGTGGTTATTTGTTGTCCCATTGTACTAGATTCCAACTCAAAAACAAACACAAAGACAAAAACAACAATACAAAATGACAGACACAGACTCAAGACCGAGAGCCGCGCGGCAACAGACTGATGTAAAACTGATATTACAAACCTGGAAGGGAGTGGGCGATAAGAACCACACTCTCTAGAAACTAAGATGACCTGGTCGCTCCTAGTTTCACAAATTGCCTGTGAAGCGTCCTCCACGGCTGGGCCAGGGAGTGTTCCCGGACACGTCTGTCCCACTGCCTGGTCCCTTTCAAATACTAGCCCTGCGCAGGTACAATGTTCCTCCAAATCCCTGATGATCATAAACATAAGGCACAATAACAGAAATAGACGAACATAAAACATTCAGACAAGCGCGCTCTTACCTCCAACCGGGTCAGGAATGGGTCTGAGGGCGACCAGCACTTCCCGGCCAACGCACCAAATGTTGGGCCCTAAAGCCCCACCAAGGAGGAGGTCGCCCCAAGAGACACTCACAGCACGGTTGATGCAATAGCAAGAGGAATTTTTATTCTGCCACGGCAGAGGTCCCTCAGCCTCGAGAGGAGAAGGACCCTGCTTTGTCTATTACAAGCTCTTTTAAAGGAAAAAACCACAAATTCAGGGAGGGGGTAGTACAGAATCAAAGGGAAAGTCCAAAAATCATTTGTCAACTGTTTTGACTAGTTCATACAATGGTCAGCTAACTCTACTTGATCAATGTTATGGCGGTTACAAGGAGGAACACCTGCAGGTCGTCTCACCCCAGTTCCAGGGTCCGGGTCTATTGGAGAAAGACTACAATGGGGATGGAAAGTACTCAAAGCTCCCGTGCACGCGTGGCTGGTTACTAGGGACCTGGTTCCCAGGAAGGGGGGTGCAGTAGTGCTAAGGTGTCTCAAAGTCTTTCACTGACAGGGGCCTCTGTGGGCTAAGAATGCCCTGTGTGATGTCACTGGACTCTGAGAGGCAGTCCGTGGTGGCAAGCTGAACACTCAGAATGACCCAGCACCATCTAGAAAAAGTACATCTTTTCATCATTCACAGACCCGATTTCACTGATGACCACTTGGCAAATGACTTGCTGTCAAAGCTGCCAGAGTGGGAACCTCATTAACAGGTAAGGGGCTAAGCATAAGGGAACAGAGACTCAGGAAGTCCAGGCGGCTAGATCAATGAGAGCAGTGAACTGCTGGAAATGGGTTAGCGTAGATTCTAGGGAGCAGTACTGAGGTTGCTTGATTACCAGAAGAAAGGGTGATCACTAGTTTGGTTATGCCTCACTTCTGGAGGAAAAATACCACGTAGGCTCCAGCTCCTGAAAAGCAGAATCTAGGATATACTCATGTATGCTCTTAACGTTTATTATTTTAAAAAATATCAATAGAGTGAAAAGCCTTTAAAGTATGAGAAGGTTACAGGTTCTGTCTGGAGAGAAATATCAGGAAGATAAGGCATTACAAAATATCACCATTATTTTCAGAAAAACTAGTGGTGACATCAATCAAAAGCGAGGCCGTGCTCTCCTGATTCTAAATCTCACAGTTCTTGGGGAAGGGGTGTGTGTCCGCATGTGTCTTTACGTTGGTGTCTTCCCCAATCACTTCATCTTATTTTTAAATTTATGTTTAAAGGAGTTAGGATTTGTTTTCATTTATAATTTGAGGACTAGAATCCATCCTCGGGGGAAAGCATGGCAGCCCAGTGTAGGAGGGAGAGGGTGCTGGTCACATGGCGTCCACAGTCAAGAAGTAGAATGAACTCCTGTGCTCAGGCAGATGGCTCTTCCTTCTTCATTTGCCTGAGATCCCAGCCCATAGTATGGCATCACCTATATTTAGGGTGATGTCCCCACCTCAGTTAACCTAATCGAGATAACCCCTCACACAAACACTGAGAGGCTTCTCTCTCCAATGACCCTAGACCCCGTAGAGACGAGAGTATTAACATTGCAGGAAAGGGGACTCTTGCAAGGCCCTTTACTAAAGCATGCCGATAGCTGGGCCATGGGCACACACCTTTAATCCCAGCACTCAGGAGGCAGAGGCAGAGACAGGTGGATCTCTGAGTTTGAGGACAGCTTGGTCTAAAGAGTGAGCTCCAGGACAGCCAGGGCTACACAAAGAAACCCTGTCTCAAAAATAAATAAATAAATAAAAATAAAATAAGGCATGGTGTCAAAGGTCTGGGGTGGATGTTATCATTTTATAATTGTTGGTTTGGGAAAGTCTCACTACATAAACACACGCACACAACACACACATTAATCCTTGACAGTTTCACTTATGTACATGATGAATCTTCATTACTTTCCCTTCCGTTGTCCCCTTTCATCCTCCCTTCTGTTGAAGCCCTTCTTTGTAACAAGTTTGTCCTTGCAATCTACTGTGATGTGTCACCCGCCGAGTTTATGGTTGCTTGACTGAGCATGCGTGGGAGATTAAGGGAGCATAGACAGCTAGCTACCTTAGTTATCTTGTTTCCTGAGACAAGGCTCACTGAAGCTGCAGCTCACTGACTGGCTAGGCTGTCTGGCCAACAAGCTCCAGAGGTCTTTCTCTCTCCAACTCTCCAGTATTGGTATTACAAGTGTGTGCGGCTGCACCCAGCCTTTTTCTTTTTTTTCATTTTCTCTTTTAAGATTTATTTTATGTGTGCAATTGCTTTGCCTGCATGCATGTATATTAATTATGCCTAGTACCCTAAGAGGCCAGAAGAGGGCATTAGATCCCCTTGAACTGAAATTCCAGATGACTGGGAACCGCAGTGGAGGTGCCGAGAACCAAATCCAGGTCCTCAGCAAGAATAGCAAGTGCTCCTAATGGCTGAGCCACCTCTCCAGCCCTGATGCACCTGACTTCTGTGTGGGTGCTAAGGATTAAACCTGAGGTCTCATGCTTGCAAAGCAAGCACTTTACCCACTAAGCCATCTCCCTAGCCCTAAAGTGTGTGTGTGTGTGAGAGAGAGAGACAGAGAGAGTATATATGTGTGTGTGAGTGTGTGTGTGAGTGTGTGTGTGAGAGAGAGTGTGTGTATGTTTGTGTTTGAGTGTGTGAGAGAGTGTGTGTGAGAGTGTACATGAGAGAGTGTGTGTTTGTGTGTGAGAGAGAGTGTGTGTATATGGGGGGGGGGGGGGAGAGATAGTGGATTCAGGCACACATGCTATGGCAGATGTATAATGGCCAGAGGACAATGTGAGGTGTTAGTCTTTGACTTTAACCTTGTTTGATAGTCTTTTGTTGCTTGTCACTGCATATGCTGGCCTACCTGAACTTTCCGGGGTTCTCCTGATTCTGCCTCCTTCTCTTCATAGGTGCACTGATATTACATGTGTGTAGTACAGTGTCCAGCTTTATATGGCTTCTGAAGATTCCAACTCAGACCTCATGCTTGAACGGCAAGTGCTTTGCCCGCTGAGCTATCTCCCCAGCCCGTCTCACATTTTAAAACAGAGCCAGTAGGTACAGGTGCAGATTTATGGTTTTGTGGTCATTGTACATGTGTGTGTGTGTGTGCACATGCTTGTAGCCTCCTTTTGCCTTTTCCTTGTTGGCATATAAACTCACATTTATCCCCACTGAAGGAGGAGGAGGAGGGAAAGAGGAGGAGGACACGGAGAGTGCCTTTTCTGAGTTATCTGCTATCTGGAAATGTTTATTCCGCTCTTGAGCTTGACCAGGTTTTGACTAGCTGTAGAAATCATCTAATAATGAATTTATAGCATTTCTCTCCAGTCTTTCTTTGTTTTGGTGTTGCTGCAGAGTTTACTGTCATCCTCTGTAAAGGTCAGCTCCCCTGGGATGCCCTCCCATTGCTGCACTGGCCACTCTGTGTTCTTTGCTGATGTGATCATCTCCTCCCCTCCCCCTTCTTCCCCAGCTTTCTGGAATTCCTTGCTAGTTAGATCCTGCTGGAAGGATGCCCCATCTGAGGTTGGCCCTTACTCTGTCATCTTGCTGTACTTTCCAGAAAATCCCCTTTTATTTTCCAATTTTCTGCTGATTTTGCTAACTGTGGCAGGCACATTTTAAATTTCAAGTGTCCCTTCTTGTTCTCTGCTGTCCTTTCTCTGGTTCTTTGAAAATGTGCTATCCTTGATTTCTCAGTTTCAGTATTTTGCAAGTTTTGGGTTGTTCCTCTTTGTGGCTCTCCACACATATTTTTCTCCCTAATGAAGGTTTTCCTCAACTGCCTTGGTCAATCCTTGGCATCTGTATCCGTCCATGTGGGCAAGTAGAACAAAACATCACAGAGTGTCTGGCTAACACAAGAATTTACTTTCTCACAGCCAGAAGTACAAGGTCAAGGTGTTGGCCGGGTGCCTTCCACTTAAAGCCTCTCTTCTTGACTCGCAAATGCCCCCCTTCTTGACAAACCCTCATGTGTTCTTTTCGCTGTACATGTTTCTTGGCTACCTTATAAGGTCACCAGTCCTACAGGATCAGGACCCATCCTATGAGTTCATTTAACCTTAATCACCTCCCTAAAGGGGTTTAAAATTAAAAGATTAAAAATGACCTCTTTCACAGGGTGGTGGTGGCACATGCCTTTAATCCCAGCACTCAGGAGGCAGAGGCAGGTGGATTTCTGTGAGTTCGAGGCCAGTCTGGTCTACAAGAGCTAGTTCCAGGACAGGCTCGAAAGCTACAGGGAAACCCTGTCTTGAAAAAAACCAAAATAAATAAATAAATAATAAAAATGACCCCTTTCACAAAAACGATCACATTGTGGTTAATAATCTGACATAATTTTGAAGAGTTATGGTTCAGTCCATATCAGCATTCCCTTCCAATTGCAAGACAGAACAAACAAGCTACTAGACAGTCTGAGTATTGGAGCAGGCATCTGCAGAGGAACCAGCATTTGTGGGGAGCTCTAAGCAGTGGTTCTCAACCTATGGGTGACAACCCCTTTGCTGGTTGCATATTAGATATCCTGCATATCAGATATTAACAATTCATGAACTGTAATTCTAAATTATATTTATGAGGTGGCAATGAATAATGTTACAGTTGGGGGTCACCATAACATGAAGAACTGTGTAAAAGGAGGGCTAAGAACCACTGGCCTAGAACCTCAGCATATTGGTCTTTCCCCTGGGCCCAGCTTCTCCTCCTAGAGCAGTCCCTCTTCCCCCACTTCAGCCACAGCAGCCTTGCTATCATGTGCGTGCATGCATGTGTGCGAGTGTGCATGTGTGTGTATGTGTGCGTGCATGTGTGCGCACGAGTGTGTGTGCATGTGTGTGTGTTGTGGTAAGGCTTGAAGACTCTGTGTAGCACTTATATCACACACCCAGATGTCTTAAATGTCTCTCAATTCCACTGTGAGCTGTGCCTCTGTATTCATTTATCCTGTCTGGGCTTTTTGGTGCACTGGGGTGAAGAGAGCTCCCTTCTGATTACACATGTGTGACTTGCCAAGGCCCTGCCACTCCTATTCCTGAGCTGCTCAAGCAGCAGCTCAACCTGGTTCTGCTTCACGGTCCTCACATTTCCCACTCAGGCTGTGAAATCCTGCCTCCTTCCAAATTGTGAGCACATGGCTAATAGCTTTGTCTTGAAAGTACTGTAAAAATCTCACATGCCTCAAATGTGGTTCAGTCGGAAGACTGTTTATCTAGCATACACAAACCCCTGGAATTGGTCTCCAGTACCATATAAAACTGGGCATGGTAACCCATACCTGTAATCTCAGCACTCAGGAGAATCAAAAGCTCAAGGTCATCCTTGGCTACAAAGTGAGTTTGAGATCAACCTGGGCTATGGGAAACCCTGTCTAAAGCAAAACAAAACAAAACAAAACAAAAATAATAATTAAAAAAACCCTCACTTGCATTCGTGGCTCTCAGCCTATTCTAACAAGGGTGTTTAGCTTTGTTTTTATTCACAGTTGAGTCAAGAGGAAGATACAGACACATGCATGGAGACCACTGACATTGAAAGGAAGCTCTGACTAGACAGCATCATAAATGTTCCACATGCACCACCAGCTCTCTGCTGGTCTGAGTCTCTGCCATGCGTGCTGCAGAGCTTTTCAGGAGCTAGAACTAAAAATGCAGCAGGCTCTGCATTTTCCTCCTGGCAGGCTGGAGCTGCTGGACACTGCACATCATCTGCTCACAGGTTCCCCAAGCATCTGCTGCATATCAGTCACCATAAGCAGGAACACTAACCATGTTCTGCAAAATACACGATGTTCTGCTTGCTTCTCCCTCCCTCTCTCCCTCCCTCCCTCCCTCCCTCCCTCCCTCCCTCCCTCCCTCTCTCCCTCCCTCTCTCCCTCCCTCCCTCCCTCCCTCCCTCTCTCCCCCCCCCTCCCTCCCTCTCTCTCTCTCTCTCTCTCTCTCTCTCTCTCTCTCTCTCTCTCTCTCTCTCTCCCCTCCCCCATGCGAGGTGCACACCCATGTAAGTACACATGTGTGTTGAGGCCTGAAGCCAATGCTGGGAATCCTTCCTTGATTCTTTCCTCCTTTATCCTTTGAGACAGGGTCTCTCACTGAACCTGAAGTTCAGCAATTGTCTAGGCTAGCTGGCCAGAGAGCTCCGGGGCTCTGTCTCTCTGCCCTCTTTAGTACTGGGGTCACAAGCACATACTGCTCTGTTTGGCTTTTTATGTGGGCTCTGGAGATTCAAACTCAGGTCTGATTGTCAGCTTCCGACCCCCTCTTCTTGCTCGTCACTATGGGTTTAAAATCTGCTTGCTGACAGCTCTGACTGATTTCATCATTGAAAGGACAGCCTCAGCTGGGCAGTGGTGCTGCTTGTCTTTAATCCCAGCACTCAGGAGGCAGAGGCAGGTGGATCTCTGTGAGTTCGAGGTCAGCCTGGTCTACAAAGTGAGTTCCAGGACAGACAGGGCTGGAAGGAAAGAAGGAAAGAAAGGACGGAAGAAAGGGAGGGAGGGAAGAGAAAGAAAGAAAAAGAAAGGACAGTCTCACAGCAGTTCTGCCGAGAAAAGCTTCACTTGCATCTGACTACGAGTGCCAATGGAGACACTCAGGGTCGGCGTTCGTATCTCTGTTATATATAAATATACATGTTATATATGTTATATATAAGTAGACCACTGAGTCTATTTATGGTCCCCTCAACAGTGGGCCACGGTGCTCATGCCTCAGCTGTCCTCTTCAGCATGTGACATCGCATGCTTTTACACTGCAATCTCTCCAGGTGGGTTGGGCAGGGTGAGAGATTGATGATGCTCTTTTGTGTTATTGCTTCCTCTCCTTGCGCTCTCTGCTCAGGGGTAGGGCTGACTTTAGATTATGCTGCCTGCTTCATGCTGACCCATCTGGATGGTGATCCTATGGATATATGTGTGATAGAAAAGAGGTAAACTTCTGTATTCGAAAAGTAGGGAAATGATTGTTTCTAAAGCACTGAAAACAGAACTTAAGCTACATGGACAAGACAAACACCACTGAGTTGTCTCATACAGCTTCTCTTACAATGCTCTCGTCTAGGACAACTGGAATTTAAAAATATGAACTCCACAATGAAGAACATCATAGCTCAGTGTGTCGTCTGTGGATCCCTGGCCATCGGGCTCTGGACAGCTCTGTTAATTGCCTATTTCCACTACGATCAAGAGAACGAACAGCTGAGGAAAACCCAGGAACTCATAAGGGCTAATTCAGTTAGAAAAAATGTGCGCCAGCAAAACCATGTCTCAAAGAAAACCCCCAAACAGAATACTTCTAATGGTAAGTCTGATGTAGATGAACCTGGAAAACCAGAATTATACCCAGGAACAAACTGATCTCTTTCTGTTAACTACTTTCAGCATGTCACAGAGTCAATATTTGGAAGGGTAAGAGAATGCCCCTGTTAGGGTAATTTAACTTTTGAGCTATAAAATATTTCATATATCGATATATTATATACACAGAACTCAGTAGAGCATATACACATGCATGCGCTAACTCTTAATTTCTCATTTTTATGTAGTTTCCTATATTGGTTTCTGTTTTCCACATTAATGAATTTCAAAAGATGCCATAGAAATGTCTTTCCAACCTCAAAGGCAGCCATTGCCTGAATCCACCAGTGTGGTTCCACAGCCTCCGCATGCTGTTGCTCGGCAGCTCTGGTCGGCATAGTAACTGCATTAACACATCTGTAGATATTCTACGTCAAGACCCTCTTAAAGTTTGCTCTCCCCCAACACTCACTGATAGACGATGTGGGCTTCATGTTTACACAGGTTACCTGATGTAACAAAATCAGCCCCCAAAGATGAAGAGAACAATAAAGCGATAATTAATGGTTTCCCAGTCAGATCTGTGTCCTGGGCTCCGCACTGCCCTGGAGCACTGCTGGTAGCACCGTGGAAGAGTAAGACATAGAATGGCCCCTCTGCAGCATCCTAGCACCGTGGAAGAGTAGGACATAGAATGGCCCCTCTGCAGCATCCCTGCCCCATGCTCACACTATACCCTCACCCCTGCTTTCTCTCTCCTTCTGTAACTCCTGTGGTACAGTTAGCTCTGTAGTTATGCCATGGTCCCTGAGAATCTTTTTCTTTCTAGTTCATCTCTGTTGTTTATACCACACTAATTCCATGGGCCTGACCTCAAGTTCCCAGGCTCTGCCTTCTGTGTAGTTTAACTACTACTTAGAATCACCCTGCCTCTTAGATGACTGTAATCACCATTCCTATAATTTCCTTTTGGTTAGTTCTTGTAATTTCTGTCCCTTAGCTAAGCTGTTCTCCCTCTTTCGTCTGCTTCTGATGCTGCGGTGGCGGCTGCTTTAGCATCCTAGCAAGTCTGGTCCAACTGATTCATCTCAGTGTTGGCGCTTGTTGGTTGTCCCTTTTAAATTCCATTTGGGACTTGGTATGACATTTTCTATTGGATCCTGGACATTAAAAATACTGCGAGACACCGTAGCATGACTTCAAGCAGGTCTCCTGCAGGGAGCTGTAGTACATGTATGAGCAGGTCTCCTGCAGGGAGCTGTAGTACATGTATAAGCAAAACTGAATGGGAGTGCCTGCCACTCACAAAAGCCAGTGAGCAAAGACAGACATTGACCCTTAAAACTTTACTTTATTCAGGCACCAGCAATCTGAAAGAGGATTCAGATGCTAAAAGTCTGTCTTCTATTACATCTCCGCCGCGCAGATTATGTAGGTGGGCAGGGACAGAGGCTGTCAATCATTTGGAGCTCAGTCTTGGCATTCTGGTAAAGGTGGTTGAACACATTTTTGAATTTTTTTTTTATTTCTGTTTCTCATTATCACCTCTTTCCTTCTTCCCTCATTCTGTGGATGTCTAGGCTCAAGAAAACAATGGGTATACTTAGTTGTTACCAGTATCTTGTACTCCTCCAGAAACATTTGGCCTAAGGCATAATTACCTTAGAACCAACAGGCTCTAAAAAGTGTTTATGTGCTAAGCTAGTAATATATCAGTGCTGATCCCTCCCTTCTGCAATATTGAGTATAAGTGTGTCATACAGTATAGAGTGTAAGAATGCTTCTACTGGTCCTTTCTGTCCTCTATTAGAAGAACAGGTAAGTATGTGTGTCCGGCCACCCTCCATTCCAGAAGCCCTTCCCTGCCCCATCTGCCTATAGCGCTTTGTGCACACCATCGTGTGGTAAACAGGTGATAAAAGAATTCAAGTCTCTTTCTTGCTGGGCAGTGGTGGCGCACGCCTTTAATCCCAGCACTTGGGAGGCAGAGGCAGGCGGATCTCTGTGAGTTCAAGGCCAGCCTGGTCTAAAAGAGCTAGTTCCAGGACAGACTCCAAAGCTACAGAGAAACCCTGTCTCAAAAACAAAACAAAACAAAAAACAATTCAAGTCTCTTGGTTTCCGCTTAAATGGAGCACTGACTTTCACAACCTTTTCACTGGGCAGTGTCAGCTAGTCCTGCCATCCCTCCCTCCTGTGCCCCATGACACCAGAGTTAAAAGGTTCAACTGTCCATTAGTCCTCACTGCCACCAGGTTCAAAGAGAAACAGAGTATCAACTATTCTGGTCCTCACTGCTGCTGAATGAAATGGACATTTAGCTCCCCACTGGGTCTCCTGAGAGGCCAAGGGAAGTAGAAAGCTACCTGGCTCTACCCTGCCCCATCCCCTTGTCGTGGGGGGCTGGAGATTCACATTCCACTGACAATACATCAGGGAGACTCAGCATCACCAGTTTTCAGCCAGAGAGGCCCTGAAGCTCCTCCCCTACGTTCTCCCTACACTATCCTGGAGGGCGAACTGACCAGAGGCAGATTAGGCTCTGCTTGGCCCTGCTGACACACCAGGTGGGGCAAGATGGATACTGTTACTTGCTTCCTTAGGGTGAGGGTAAGGTGAAAGGTCTCAGGGCAAGTTTTGAAAGGTTTTTTTATTTTGTTTTGTTTTGTTTTTGTCACTAGGCTACCCCTTTCCCCAGCTCTGTCTTTGGTTAGGGAATGAGTTTATCTTGGAGGTTGCTGATGATGACTTGTGACTACTTGTGTTTCAGCAAAAGCTTCTATAACCTCTGTGTGGCATTTACGATGTGTGTGTGTGTGTGTGTGTGTGTGTGTGTGTGTGTGTGTGTGA